CGTTAACTGCCAACCCTCCGGGTTTCTCACGTATTTGAGCCTTTTCCCTCTGCCGTTTTTATTATTTTCCCGTAAAAGATCCCAACTTTGAAGGGAAGAAACAAAGTAGGCTATAAAATAAAACCGTGCATCTTTAACTTACCAGAATGAAAATGCAGGGAACACACTCTCAATGACATTGGAATACTGTGGAAAGTTATGTTCGGTCGTCTTACAGCCGCGATCCAAGCAAGCCGACGACTCTTTATCTCTGACACTTGGTCTCCATGGTTACGCCTCCAGTCAGGAAAGCTACGCCTCCAGTCAGGAAAGCGGTGGAAAGTAAACCCATTTTCTATGTTTTTCCCATGGCGATCATGTGTTGAGCTGTTACAGCCCACAATACAGCAACGGTTTACCATGGTTGAAATCAAGTTAAGGTGAAATTAATCAAATTAAGACACGGCTGAGAGGGAGTACAGTACGCGGTAGTCATAGGCAGTAGTCTGAGCCGCGGTAAAAGACGCATTCAACATGGCGGTGACGCGAAGTGCTTACGTCATGACGACCAAGCCCTATACTGCACTTTAACAGGCTTCTGCACCCAAGCGCAGGTGCAGACAATTAGAGGGAAGATGGCGAATGTAATGAACGAGATGCAGCTTCCACCAAATTTGGTGAGATCCTTATTTATCTACCCGTTTGCCAGAAGAACGTCCATGTTGTAGGGTAGGAAAATTTAATGTCATGGTTATTGTGACTGTGACGAATCCACCTCGTCGCTTAAAACATCCTCTAACTTTGCGCGCCACACACACATTCCTGTTATACCGTGCTTGTGAGGACCAATTCACTCGCGCTGAGCCCAGTAGCTCCATTAACTTAAAACACACAAGCTGTTCCTGGTTACCTGCTGGCGTATTGAGGGTGCACACTTAATATTTCAGTGGGGTTAGCCGTGTGTGTGTGTGTGGGTGGGTGTGTGTGTGTGTACGTGTTTATGCTACGGGAACTTGTCATCTTCAGTCTGGCTGCGTCTTTGCTGGGTTCAAACCCAGTTTGGTGTAATTGAATAAGCCAATGAATCTGTGTAAAAGAAT